TCTAATAAATAAATTTGATTTAATTTTTAACTACTGATCTCTTTATCTACTCAATGAAGAAAAAAAAAAACACATGTTGAAATATCTATCAACATTTTTACTCTTCGATATTTCTACTATCAACCACAGTTGACATTATCATGATAAATATATATTCATCAACAGTTCGTCAATCTTACTCAATACATTAAGATATAAATAAAAACCCAGGTCAATTGAATTAGTATTTCTACATATTATTTATTTGAGAAAGAAAAAAAAAACGAAAAATACTTCAACTATTGTTTTGTTATTAAATAGCAGCAATAAGCAATTAGCAAAAGACATGTTTGAAATCAACAAAGATATTAAAAGATAAATAGATAACTGTACGAAAAAAATACATGCAAATTTGCAAAGAAAAAGGATTAATTATTCTTTTGTTTTAGTCATTAAGCAAAAAAGAAAAAAGGAAAGAGAAGATAACATTGAGTTATAATATGTGAGAAGAATCTTATATAGAAAAGAAAACATCATACAATCCTGAGTCCACTTTATACAAGAGAGAGAGAGACAGAAAAATTAACTACTTCAATCTTTTCCTTCTATTCACTAAGTTGTTTCGAAATAATATAAATAAAACAAAGAAATCTATGCTGTAAATGTTTTTTATCATTATTTTTCATACAAAAGAAAAGAAAAAGAAAAAGAAAATTTCATCATCATTTTTGTTTTCCTTTTGTTGCGTATATAAAATCACAGATTTGCAGTGTAATAAAAATCAATCAATCAATCAACACAACAAAGGAGCAAAAACTATATAAGAAAAAGTTTGTTTGTTTTTTTCACTAATTTATTTTTAACTTTGCCATTTAATATGTCCATATGCTTGAAGACCTGATAATGTCAAATAACCAATCCAAAGAATTACGAAAAAGATCGAACATATATATTTAGGTATTGCTGGTCCACCTAGAAAATAAATAAATATAAAAAAAAATAAAATCTTTTTTATTTTTGGTTTGCTTTTCTTTACCTAATTCTGCTTTGCCAAAAACACCCAAAAATCGACGAAGTGTAAGTACAGTCATACCAAGAATACAACAAATAGAAAATACCAGTACACTGAATGATAAATCACCTGCTTTAACCGTAAATGGCAGATTCTTGAAAAAAAAAAATTATGTTCACTTATTTTTTTTTCTCTATTATCAAATCTCTTTAATTTTCTTACTTTTGATTCCCAATAAATAGCAGCAATAAGCCAAGGTAGACCAAGACCAAGAAATACATTAACACTATTTGAACCTGTAACATTTCCAATAGCATCATCAGCTGTTTTACAGTTTTTTGCTGCAAACATTGATGCAAATGTATCAGGTAATGATGTACCAAGTGCAACAAATGATATAGCTGTTATACTATCTTTTAACCCAACAAGGCAACCAAATATAGCAGCAACATCACCAACAATAGCCGTAAGTATAGCAATGAAAATAAGTGAAAAAACAAATGTTAACCAACCACCAGCCATTGATGTTGGTGGTACAAATGCAAAGAGAACTTTCCAAAAAAATGATATTGCATGACCAATATAACTACCAAATGTTGCTGTTCCTATGTCACCACCATTTACATTCATAGCTTCACGAAATTGTTGTCCCCATGTTGTTTTTGTTACACTTAATTGATCAAGATCAATTTGAACAAGTGATGCCAATTTATTTGCCATTGATTTATAATCTAAATAAAAAATAATAGAAAAATATAAATTTTGAAAAATGTAATTTATTGTTTGTATGTTTATTATGAAATAAATTATACCATCATCATTTATGATTGTTACAACTGTTTTTGAATGTTTTCCTAATTTTGCACCACCTTTTGGATCAAATAATTCAACAGCAAAACTTTCATCTTTTTCAGCTTCAAAATCATCTATAATTGATATAGCTATTACTTTTGATATTTCACCATGTTCAAATACTAATTCCTTGTCGACAACATCTAAAACAACAACAAACAATGAATTGATTTATATTTCAGAGAATATATTGTCTTAGAAAATAGAAAAAAATTAGAACATCTGATAGTGAAGTCTAACAAATTTGTAATAGAGTTGTTAACAGGTCACTTTTTTTTCGCCTAGTCTGTAGCCAAATTGATTTTCAACAAGATTAAGGAAAAGCATAACAAAGGTATGTATGTCAGAATACATAGAATAAAACAATCTCTCTTTGATAGGCAACAAAAGCCATATCGTCTTTCACTATTTTTATCCTAGTTTTCTCTTCTGCAAGGGCAACTTAAAAACATAGCAAATCAAAATAATGATACAAATATAATAAATATCATTCACACAACAGAAGCTGAAGTTAATTCAATGTTTTTGATCACATCAGTACTGTCTAAGCAAGTTCTTCCATCAATCAATGTTAATCCTAAAATATTAAATTGATGTTCAGTTCAAGTGTTTGTTGCTGAAATCGAATGAATTTGTCAAAATACTCGCGAATAATACACCTATGCATCAACACTTGATTTCGAGAAAGTATGAGTCACGCCAACAACTTTGGTCTGGACTAGCTAGCGCCTATCAGGCAGTAGTTCAGTTCGAGAAAAGTCAGTTGAAACTTTTGACGTGAAAAATCTGTACTTTAGTTGAAATTTAACATCTAAGAACTCGGTAACTTTTTATGACCATAATTAATTCTTTCAGAATGGTCTGAAGCACTCATTATCCAATGAGAAAGCATATGTGATATCAACGTTTGGAGTAACATCAATCAAACGAGCGAACTACACTAATATTCATTTCAGAGTTAAGTGAACATGAGTATTTTTTGAATAATTTAAAAAAAAACGAGAGAAAGAATTCACGGTTTCAGCACATGATGTAGAGTTGACATTACTGTATCTTTTTATTAAGTCCACGAAAAAATCCAATGGCTTTCCTTCTGAGATATAGCATTGGTATTAAAAGACGATCTTAATTCCGTTTGAAAAGTATATGCATTTCCTTTAAAAGATGTAAACAATTTTTACTCATCAAAATTTTTTCCAAATCTAAATAGTTAACAAATATATTTTTATATAAGTATTTAGTCATCTTCCCTTTCATGATATGATTCATTAAACTCTGGAGTTTGTTTTTCTATTAAGAAAGTCATCTGAATTCATGCATTCAATTTATTTTATGACGCGGAACTGATATATCAGAAAACTCTTTTTGATCTTTACGTTATTGATGTCTTTATCCCAAAAGGACGATGAATTCATATCGGTAAATCAAAAAAAAAGACTCAAAAGTTTTAACGCAAATTAGTGATACAAACTCATCAGTCATCAATATTATTCAACTCAATATTTTTGTGTTTCTTCGTTCACCTTATTTTTTTGTGGTAAATTTTCAAATCAACTTTAATGGTTCCTCTTTGGAACTATCTTTTGAATATGGAACATCTAGATCATCAAGCTACTCAGCTGTGATTTTGCTAAAATACTTTTTCAATAGAATTATACTAAGTAAAATTGTCTCCAAACATGCAGTAAATTCTTACTAGCTTTTGAAGATAAGTAGCTGTCGATCTCGGGCTTGCACCGATCGATAGAGGTGCGACTAGGCTATCTATTCGTTGTATTATAGTTCAGGCAGTATATAATTTTCAAAGCAGATTAAGATCATCTTTAATACCAATGCTATATCTTACAAGAAAAGACACTGGATATTTTCATAGACTTCATAAAACGATCCAGTAATGTCGACTATAGATAGTGCTGAAAACGTGAGTTCTTTCTCTCTTCTTATTTAAAAGTTATTCAAAAAATGCTCACGTCCACTTAACTCTGAAATGAATATTAGCTTTAGTGATCTAGATATTGAAAGAACAACTATGTGAAAACAAACTTAAATTCTAACTGTTTATAATAGTTTTGAGAAATTCACGATAGGTAATATCACTATAAAAAAAAAAACATTTCTTCTATATTTTTATTTCAATAACTTATAAGGGAACTACGCAAGGAGATAAAAATGTGACTTTAGTACTTCGAAGTACTGGACAATGGGACTAGAAAAAATCTATAAGGGTTTGTTCTTATAATATCTTTGATGCCCAATTATGACCGGTTTACTGGATTTTCGAACCAAAATTTTGCTCATAGATACGTATATTGGCTATTAGAATACCGTGAAAGTTTCAGTCAAAAAGAATGTTTCTTTGGCGAATTATTGCACTTTCCAGTGAACACATTTTTAATGACATGTATTGTTTTTTTTTAGAAAGCCAACACCTTAACGAAGAAATATTCTAAGAATCATTAGACTTGTCGATAGACAAGATTTTAGCTTGAAATTCTATTATTTAATTTTCGAAAGTAATCAACAGATGAATTGAAAACTCAATAAAACGATCATAACTCAATTTGTCAGACCTACATGGATGAATCCTTTTAGGCTTTTGATAATTTCATCATTAGCAAATAGATAGATGTTTAGAATAATAGTTCGATGATTGAATAAACTCATACATTTTTAGTACATATGTATTTTGTAAATCATTTATAAGAGATTCTATTACATATAATGATCTTCAAATTTGTTAGCAGTTATTTGACTTACGTTCATAATCTTTTTTGCCTCTAGCATCAATATCTTCTGTTTTATAATGAACAGTAACACGTCCATCGGCACCATTAACACGTACAACTTTTATTTCTGCGTTTCCAACACTTTCTTTAACTAAAGTAATTACTTCTTCAAATTCAATTTCACCAGGTTCTAAGAAGAAAAAAAAACAAATTTTATTCTTTGTTATTTTATTATTATTAAACTTATTTACCATCATCATTAATAATTGTAATAAGTGCAATTGTTTTTGTA